TATTTATTTTATTTATTTTATTTATTTTATTTATTTTATTTATTTTATTTATTTTATTTATTTTATTTATTTTATTTATTTTATTTATTTAATTTATTTTATTTATTTTATTTATTTTATTTATTTTATTTATTTTATTTATTTTATTTATTTTATTTATTTTATTTATTTTATTTATTTTATTTATTTTATTTATTTTATTTATTTTTTTATTTTTTTTTATTTTATTTATTTTATTTTTTTTATTTTTTTTATTTATTATAATTATTTTATTTATTTTATTTATTTTTTTATTTTTTTTTATTTTATTTCTTTTATTTTTTTTTATTTTTTTTATTTTTTTTATTTATTTTATTTATTTTATTTATTTTATTTATATTATTTATTTTATTTATTTTATTTATTTTATTTATTTTATTTATTTTATTTATTTTATTTATTTTATTTATTTTATTTATTTTATTTATTTTATTTATTTTATTTATTTTATTTATTTTATTTATTTTATTTATTTTATTTATTTTATTTATTTTATTTATTTTATTTATTTTATTTATTTTATTTATTTTATTTATTTTATTTATTTTATTTATTTTATTTATTTTATTTATTTTATTTATTTTATTTATTTTATTTATTTTATTTATTTTATTTATTTTATTTATTTTATTTATTTTATTTATTTTATTTATTTTAATTTATTTTATTTATTTTATTTATTTTATTTATTTTATTTATTTTATTTATTTTATTTATTTTATTTATTTTATTTATTTTATTTATTTTATTTATTTTATTTATTTTATTTATTTTATTTATTTTATTTATTTTATTTATTTTATTTATTTTATTTATTTTATTTATTTTATTTATTTTATTTATTTTATTTATTTTATTTATTTTATATATTTTATTCTTCAACGATGTAGCAGCTTTGTTGTGAGTTAAATGCAAGCTTGTTTATGCAGATGATCTTAAGCTATACGTCATAGTTCACTCGATTGAGGATTGTCATCGTCTTCAAGCTCTTCTAGATTCGTTTGTGGATTGGTGCCGTCGCAATGAGCTCATTATCAGCGTTCCCAAGTGTGCAGTGATGACGTTTCACCGCTCTAAGAGTTCAATCCTTTACGACTACTGCATTGACAATGTAACGCTTTGCAGAGTAGAACGTATGACTGATCTTGGTGTTCTTTTGGACCCAAAGTTGACCTTCAATCTTCACTATTCTCTCTAAGGCGAATCGTCAACTGGGATTTATTTCGACGATTGCACGAGATTTCAAAGACCCTCACTTTTCGTGTACACTATATTTCTCTTTAGTTCGGCCCATACTTGAGAATGCATCTGTGGTCTGGTCTCCGTATGAACTAACTGTGGAATCTCCGAATAGAACGTGTTCAGAAAAGATTTTTGAGGTTGACTTTGCGCAGCCTGTCGTGGCGTGATCCAATGAATTTACCATCTTATGCAGACCGATTCATGCCTGAACACATTGGACCAATGACCTGGACTCATTGGAAGACAGAAGAAAAATGCAACGAACCTTGTTTCTATCGAAACTTTTAAATGGCGATGCGGACTGCCCTCAACTGCTTTCACAATTAAACTTCCGTGTTCCTCAAAGGATGTTGCGGCAATCATCCTTACTACAACCAAGATTCCATCGGACTGCATCTGGATACCATGAGTCAATGTCTGCAATGATTCGGGCATTCTGCACTGTGGAAGAAGAATTTGAATTCGGAGAAACATCGAACCCATTTCGAAACCGATTGAGAAGATTGTGATTATTTTTGTAATCTGTTTATCTGTTGCTTTTTTGTGTATTATACCACGTTCACATTACAGCGTACATCACGTTATATATGTGTCTTGCAATGAGCACTCATACATCTAGTTTTCACTGGAAATCCTATGTATGAGTGCTCATTGCAAGACAGCCTAAATTACGTGATACAGGCTGTAATATGAACGGGGTATTATCTAAGTTTTATTCAATAAAACAACTACTGTTAGATGAATAACAATCAATAAATAAAATAAATAAAATAAATAAAATAAATAAAATAAATAAAATAAATAAAATACATAAAATAAATAAAATAAATAAAATAAATAAAATAAATAAAATAAATAAAATAAATAAAATAAATAAAATAAATAAAATAAATAAAATAAATAAAATAAATAAAATAAATAAAATAAATAAAATAAATAAAATAAATAAAATAAATAAAATAAATAAAATAAATAAAATTAATAAAATAAATAAAATAAATAGAATAAATAAAATTAATAAAATAAATATAATAAATAAAATAAATAAAATAAATAAAATAAATAAAATAAATAAAATAAATAGAATAAATAAAATAAATAAAATAAATAAAATAAATAAAATAAATAGAATAAATAAAATAAATAAAATAAATAAAATAAATAAAATAAATAAAATAAATAAAATAAATAAAATAAATAAAATAAATAAAATAAATAAAATAAATAAAATAAATAAAATAAGTAAATAAATAAAATAAATAAAATAAAGAAAATAAATAAAATAAATAAAATAAATAAAATAAATAAAATAAATAAAATAAATAAAATAAATGAAATAAATTAAATAAATAAAATAAAAAAAAATAAATAAAATAAATAAAATAAATAAAATAAAAAAAATAAATAAAATAAATAAAATAAATAAAATAAATAAAATAAATAAAATAAATAAAATAAATAAAATAAATAAAATAAATAAAATAAATAAAATAAATAAAATAAATAAAATAAATAAAATAAATAAAATAAATAAAATAAATAAAATAAATAAAATAAATAAAATAAATAAAATAAATAAAAAAATAAAATAAATAAAATAAATAAAATAAATAAAATAAATAAAATAAATAAAATAAATAAAATAAATATAATAAATAAAATAAATAAAATAAATAAAATAAATCAAATAAATAAACAATGTAGATGTTAAACAAACTCTTAAATAAGTTATACTGTCACATACTTTATAAGAGATGAACTAGATATAAAAAAAAATGAACTAGCCTATGGCTAAAAATCTCTTCAATAAAGAAAAAAAAAAATGCCGCATACTTTAAATGTCTTGCCGTTTAAGATGATTTCGTTAGGATGTTGCACTTTATCATTAGCATATCTAATTAAAACATGACTCTTTTTGCAGTTTATTTCTAGTCCTACGACCTCCAGCTGGATTTCTAATTCTTTAAGTATCTCTTCCATCTCTGCTTTAGACTTCGTTATAATTAGCATATCATCTGCAAAAACAAGTAGCAAAGGAAGTTTTAATTGATTAATATCCAACAATTTTAGTTCCGGTATTTTTGCAACAACTCTGTTTAAAATATCTTGCATTATATAATTGAACAGCAGAGGTGAAAGAGGGCAGCCCTGTTTTATTCCTTTTCCTCTCGTTACTTCTATGGAAAATTGATTCTGCCACAAAACTCGTGTAATCTCATCTTTAACACATAATAATACTCTATCTATTAGTCTCGATGGAACTACAATCTTAATCAAAACTTCTGATAAACATTGTAATTTTACATTATCAAACGCTTTGCTAATATCTAGTATATAAAGATCCTGACCTGCGTTCCAATACTCTTCCATAATACGTCTAGCTACGAATATATGATCATCTGTAGACCTTTCTGCAGTAAAAGCCACCTGATGCAATCCTGGCTCACCTGCATATTTCCTTAGCTGTTTAGCTATCCACTTAGCATAAGTTTTGTAAGCTACATTACACATGGATATTCTTCTAAATTGATCTGCTTCTGTAGCTCCTGATTTCTTGGGAATGGGTATTTGCGTTGTTTTCTTCCATTCGTTAGGGATTTCATTTCTAATATACACTTCCTGTATTATCTCTGCTAATCTTTTTATTGAATTTTCATCGGCATATTTAATATATTCCGTAAATATTCTAAACGCTCCTGATGGCTTACCATCACTAGTTGCATAAAGTATGCTCTCAATTTCATATAATGTTGGTGGATTTGGCAATGGTATATAATTATTGTTTGAACCAAATTCTATTTCTGGGCCCTCACAAGTTTTTAAAATGTCTTCCCAAACTCTAGTACTAATTATTGCAGATTTCCTCTTCTTTTGCTTAACAAACTGTTTAAGATAATTGTAGGTTTTTCTTATTCTTATGCCTGCATCAAAATCTTTAAGGTTTCTGAAAAATTTCATGATTTCCTTTTCATTATGTTCTTTGACTGCTTGCTGATACTCTTGTCTACGATTTCCATCTCTGTACTTATAATTCTGCATACTATATCGTAGATATCGCAATTAAACACACATGGGCCGGGACCAACGGCTTTACTTCTCTTCCGAAGGAAGACGTGACCAGAGATTTTTATGCCTCAAATAAATCCCAGCGACCTCGGCTGGGTTTGATCCCAGACCCATTGGGGTGAGAAAGCAGTCACGCTTACCACTACACCACCGGCACCGGCTGAAGTAAATTTGGATGGGTATTTTTGTATCACCTACAATGATAGAAATGCAATAGTTTTTATCGAGTGACTCGATTTTACATTTGTTACTTAGGACCTTTTGAAAGGATACGCGAGAAATGACTTTTGGCAAATATGTTTACTATCCAGCTTGGAAACATTTCCAACCCGTGCGAACCCGAGCTTATTGCCAGTGCGAATCTCAACCCAAGCCAGGTTACAAAAACAAACGTTGACAACAATTGATACCCGATCCTGGTTGGAACTGAATCAAAAACAAATTCGCTATTAACTTTGAGTTGTTTCGTCTTTCCGTGTAATTAACGTCAATTTGAAGGTGGGAATAACAAGCTGAAAGTATGAAGAAGCAGAACAATTTCACAATATGATTGAAAATTGTCTACACGCCTCCACGCTGTCGCCTGCCACGCAGTCAGTCGGTTATTAGATCTCGTTCCACCTCGATTACGAAAATCCCTGTTCTAGCGTACTTCCATGCTGCTGATTGAAACCACCTTCTGTACTGGAATCACCTACCGAAGATTACGGAGTTCCCAACAATAATTCATATCCAGCCTCTGTCGATGCACACGCGGCATTCATTTCGTTAGTTTCATTCATCCAGTGCAACTCGTAGTGTTTATCCAACCATTGAACAGTCTCACCGCAGCTCTTGCTGCTGCTACTACTATTCAAACTCAAAGCCGCTACCGAGCACCGAGGCCTAACCATGAACGTGAATTGGTTTCGCAGGATCGGCTACATTTACGTCGTACTTTGCTTTCTCTGTTCTGTTGCGGGAGCAATCTACTCCTTCGCCAACATCGTGGACATAAAAACCGTTTGCGTTCAGTACTATTGTAATGCTGGTGAGTGAAACTTTGAACAGTCAATGATGACGTAATCTGTATTGATAAACATCGTTGCAGGATTTGAGAGTCTGCTGATTTCTATTATCAGCATGATTGTGTGTCTGCTGTCGGCAACTTTTTCAATCTTCGTCAAATTGGGAATTGAAGAGGTATAGAAGGAAGCACGATAGCGCTCACACTCAATAACAAAAATTTCTCCAACAGGGCGAATCAGGATACATCCACATCAGCCGGACGTTCATGTTGGTACGAAGTCTGGTTCTGACTATCCGTTTGACGTACGAAAGTGCCTCATTGATGGTTGCGGAAATCAACGAAGAAGTTACACCGGAAGTCGTACGATTTAAGAATACCACAACTATTTTGCTGATTGCAATAACAGGTGAGGTTCCGCAGGGAAGGGCTCTCAAATGATCAATAAGGTTAAATGTTGTATTTTCACGAATAGCCGCTACCGGTTTGGAGCTGTGGATTCTAGATGGTGTGCAGAAATATACGCTTCAAACTTTGCAAGAGGAAACAGCTAGCAACAGGTCATGACTAACGATTAAAAGTTCGGAGAGCTGTAATAGGCAGTTGATAGACTGATAAACATTCCTAATTGAAGTGTAAGTAAACTACCATTATACGCATAACTGTCCCATGTTCCATGCAATCATTATGGATCGTGGGTCACTTATGCATATAATGGCAGTAAACTTACTACGACTTAGCTAGTGGTGTTGATGGGATGTCGTAAAAAGAGGAAATGGGTTCTTCTACATATTATTTAAGGGAATAGAGTGGAAGAGGGAAGAGGGGGGGGTTTCTTAATATTTCTTAAATTTGCTTACAATGGAGTGCGGAAGGTTTACATTTTCTTACACAAGATCTTGGGTGACTTGACCCTTTATGGACCCCCTAGTTATTGTTTAGCCATTGACACTGAATTCATGGCCTTTAAATTATTGTTTCAGTATAGGTATTCAAAGAAGTACACGTTTATCTTTTATGTAATGTATCTCATACATACAATAAGTAATCATTGAAATATTATGGAACACTGTGGGTCGAACATAAAATTGTTCCCATCCTATAATGGACCGCCTAGAATAAATTTACCTAAAGCATAAAAATTCAGCTTCGGTATGTACCATGTCCAATAAAGGACGCAAAAAATACTATATTTTTGAGAACTGCTCATACATACCAATAACCAGTGATTCTAATATGCAACGTTCCAAAAAAATATTTCGGAATATTAAATAAGTACCCAGAAATTTGTAATATTTACTATATAGTCAAAATCCCTGTTTTTGTTTCGATTGTTAAAACTTTCAATTGATGTTGCAACTTCGTGCTGGTGTTTTATTTTGATAAACTTAGGAAAATGATTCTTTAAAACTTAAAAATATCATATAAGAACAAATTCTGGTATAGGTGCACGTTTTCTCCCGCAGGGGTGCTCATCTTTCCCCAAGCTGACTGAAACCAGTGTCAAAAAGGTACTTTTTTTTAATTCATTTTGTAAACAGCCAAATTTGAATACATTGTACTATATCAACCCTCAGGAGCTAGAGAAGACATTAAAGAACTAGGATAGAGAATATTTTAATTAAGGGTGGTGATTGCATCGATCAGGAATTTTATTTAAATGTGTGAATAATTTAATAGGTTTAAACTGTTTTGAATTAAATTCCTTAGTATAGGCAGTAGGAAGACACAAGCATTTTTGCTGAAATCATAAAACGGGTAAATTTAATTCATGAATAAGCTATGCTATTCGCCAAATGGGATATACCCTAGAAAGAGAGAGTACCTGTATACATTTCCGATGCTCAATATATCCACGGTTCAGTGACAAGAAAGTTTCGACGTAATGTTCGTTATGTCACAAATATGTTTGTTATGATCATATGTATTCGATTTGTCAAAACTGCATTGAAATGCCAAGCGAAGATGATGATGATTAGTTTTGAACAAAAGTATCTGATATGAACCGTATCTTATTTTTGAGAAAACATTTTCAGGTAAACGAAAGCATGAGACAACGAAACCTTAGCCCCAAGCTGATCCTATCCTTCGACAATTTACCTCTCTAACCTCGGGTAAGCCACGAGTATTCGGCCCAACTCCTACTATACATAGAATTAAGTGAATTTTGTTACAAACAAAGAACAATGAACTAGCGGCTCCGTAAAGCTAACGCGATTGGGCCTTCCAAGTAAATTAAATAGTGAAAAAAAAATAAACGAAAGCTTAAATTGAATTGCGTATTTTTTTTTCTAAATGTAGATGACAGGAATCTTCTGAACAGAGTTGGAAACAAATGGATTATTTTTTCCTCTGGCCAGGATTGCTTAGTTAAAATGACAAATAAAAGCAATAAATATTAAAAAAAAATTACGCTCTATCGATCCCTTGGGAGCGAATTCAAAACTATGATGACTACCACAGAATTGATTTAGTTCATCTTAAAAACTTGTCCGAAAACAGAAACCTTCTATCTTGACAAGTTGTCAAGTGGGACCAAAAAAAAAAACGTAAAACAATAGTGCTAACAAATAGTAAATTCTGAGCTAAACTGTTTATCATAGAAAAGACCTGGTCCATCCTGTAACCGTTGAGTTACATTGTCCATAATTTTAATATGTGCTTTTTGTTAGTTGGATTAGTCAGAAATTGATGTAAATTTAATAACTAAATTGGGTCACTTGGGTGAAACAACACCGAAAGGGAGTAAAAAAAATCAACTTTGGTAGGAAAATTACATAGAATAAGGAGATGGATATGGATGCGTGGTTATAAACTTGGAAAGTGGATTGGAAAAAGTGGCAGGCTGATAACTGGGATAGTCGTCAATTGCTCATAAGTAATCCGGCTTACGTGTGACCAGGCATGGAAAATCATTTGCATTGATTTCATGCATTTATTTACATTCATTTGCCTCTAACTTTTTTCATCAACAGCATTCCGCAAAATGTTGTTTAGAGCTTTAGTAGGTTTTTTTTATTAGCTATAACTTTTGCCCATAACTCAAATCTGTATCTCTTATGCATCACAAATTAGAGCGGCCAGAAATTGTTACTGTTTTTCAGTGAATGTAAAATACATTCACTGAAAAACAGTAGTGGCTTCTGTTCGCTCTGATTCGTCATGAATAAGAGATACGGATTTGAGTTGTTAACAAAAGTTGTAGGTAATAGCAAAACCTACAAAAGTTCCATACATCATTTTGAGGAATTTTGTTGATGAAAAAAGTTAGGGGCAAATGAATGTAAATGAATGCACGAAATGAATGCAAATGATTTTTCATGCCTGCGTGTGACCAAGACGTGAGTAAGTTTAGGAAAGTGACCATAAGTGCAGTGAACGACTTCTACTGTTACTGCTGTTCGATACAGGTTACTAGTCCGTAGAAATTTCAACATTGGCTGTGGCTAATACCACAATTTGTCCTTCAGAACCTTTTTTTTTATTATTACCAATAATCAGTTTTGGCTTGGTTGTCTGGCAATCACTCATCAGAACAAATTAGTTTTGTAATTTGTCCCTACACAGTTCGAAAAAGTAGTATAAATTTCTGATCAATATGATGCACATAAATGCAGCGTCGCATACCATATACGTTTACATTATATGTCATGTAAAGTTCTGACACATTTCATGAAATGTAGTAAATATTGTATTCAAAAGCCCATCTTTGTAAACAACATTATTTGCAAGTTGCTCGGTTGCGTGAAATGAAAACAAGTCTACGTGAATGAATGTTTACATCACAATTAAAATTCAGAATTTTTATCAGTGTACGCCTCATAGCCTACACAGCTCGAAAAAGTAGTGTAAATTTCTGTTCAGTATGATGCACATAAATGGAGCGTCACATATCATATAAGTTTACATTATATATCATGTAAAGTTCTGATACATTTCTTGCAATGTAGAAAATATCGCATACAAAAGCCCATTGTTGTAAACAACATTGTTTACAAGTTGCTCGGTTGCGTGAACTGAAATACAAGTTTACGTGAATGAATGTTTACATCACTATTAAAATTCAGAATTTTTATCTGTGTAGTCAGTAAAGGCACGGTATTACCAAACCGGAGACGACGGTTCGATTCCCGGTCCAGTCGAGGGAATATTTCGGGTTGGAAATTTTCTCAACTTCCCTGGGCATAGAGTATCATTGTGCTTGCCACACAATATACAAATTCATGCATTGGTAATTTTCATCGAAAGCTCTCAATTATTAACTGGTGAAGTGAATTTAGAACATTAAGTTGAGAGCACGCAATATGCTAATATGCACGAAGCAATAAGCTTGAAATGCGAATAAGAAGAGAAAGATCTTTCGACTCCAAGCCGAAACTGATTATTGCAAAACCTCACAGTCGAACACTCCAACACAATATTTATTATTATCATTTTGACATTATCCGCACGATCGACACGTTTTGGCCAAGCCAGTTAAAGCTGTCTTGGTGTAACCGTCAAGAACCATCTACTCTCAGGCTTAGAAGCCGCTGAGTGAGAGTTTCTTCGGACAAAATATTAATCATTAAGGAGGAATTCCCCTGCTCAGTGTGGCCAATACAGTCTCGTCCGTGTTCCACCGATGTCGTCAATGAAGGAGGACGCCATTGACTCAGAAAAAGATTACTTCGGCAGCGGCACAGGTATCGCTGTATTACCTGGTTGTGTACTGTCTGCCATTGCAACGCGCCAACCCAAGCGTAAGATCCACCATTCAACACCGATCAAGGCGTCAGTCGCTATTGTGGCGAAACAATGGAAGCGTGATTCCGTGGCGCGGTAATCGCGGTCAACCAACAACGCCGATCACCAAGCAACCACCATCCGCGAGCACTCGCCATCGTACAACAGCATCACCCCCGGTACGTACCAAAGCAGCAGAAACCGCACCATACAATCCCGCCATATTTGGACATTTGCAACCCACACGTTTCAACTTTCCAATTTATTGCTCCATATTGAGTCAGTTAAGAAATTCCACAGTTTCTGCACACTTTGTTCCGCGTGAACCTCCGAATTATCCAGTAGAATGCCTGCCCTGTGACTCAGTTTAGGCCCTAAATTTTAGGGGTCTCGTGCTACTAGGTTATCCGGGAGTCTTGGTCGAGCCAGAGTAAGTCTCTTCTAGTCTCAATCTGTACAAGTTTGCCGAAGATGGGAGCTTTCTATCTTGTCAAGATGTAAGCACAGACAAACAGACGTAACTCTTCATTGTGTATCTTCGTTCATGCATTTAACGGTTGATTTGAATATAATCAGTTCCGCGAACTACTCGCCGCAGCGCTGGCATCGGATCACTTTGACGTTTCTATATATTCTATAGAACTTTTATGCAATATTGTTTACGAGTTAGCGAGCAAGCTTGTTTTCCGCGAGAAGCCAGAGAGATGTCACTGAGGTTATATGTTTTGAGATACTATGTTTTCAAGAACAAGTTTTTCAAAGAGTTACGTCTGTTTGTCTGTGATGTAAGGTTAATCAATTCAAAAAGTATGTCACGTGAGGTTCACGAGGTTAGTGAATTA